AGAGAAGCCAGGATATTGGCTTCAACAATATAACTGGGTAGCTTTTTCCACTCTCCCACCCCCCTTTGTGTAAAAAAAAGTATTGAAATTGACAGACAATAACCAAAAACATTTGTGTCAATTGATCATTACAGATTCATCACCTCAGCATTACGAATCTTGGATATCCTGTATCATGGAAAATGTCAAATAAAGATACATCACCAGATCACATCTATATCGTTATATAAACAAAATGAATTCATGCACTTATATCCTGTCTGTTCAAAAAATGTGACTGCGCCAACCGCAACAAGGGTTGTGCCAATCTCTTGCAGCTACAGGGAGAGTAGTTTCTTATCCTGTGCATGCATGCGTGTTTTTTTTTGTTAGCGGAAAGGGAACAGCGGTCGCGTTTCAAAGCCGTGAAACTACAATTCCCGTCATGCCACGAAAGCGGGAGGGGGGTCCTGTGACGTCACTGCCCTGCGCCGCCCGTGTCCCTTTCCGAGAGGGAGAGTGTTGGGCTGTGCAGACCTGGGGCTGACGAGTCTGGCTTGTGTGCAAGTTTCACTTTTCTCGCCAGATTGGACGCCGCGTCTAAAACAAGAGGAAACATGGGACCGGTCGAGGTGATGGCCCGTCCTTTTCGTGTCTCTGTGTGTATGAAGCGCGCTCTCACGTTGCGTGTGTCGCAGGATTTCGGGGGTGCCTTTGTGTAAAAGCCCCGGGGGATGTAGCACAGGACATTTTCAGTTCTAGAAAAAAATATTTCCAGTTTGTAATCCGGTCTCTGGGGCTTTTACACAAACAGGGGTTACTGTCTGAGCCTTTGTGTTCAGAAGTAACGGCGCGACAGCAGCCGGGGGCTCCGAGCTGGAGGTGCCGTGTTTTATCCGAGTTTCTGTTTTCCACCCGTGTCTCCGGACATAAATCCACAGCCTCTCCCCAAAACACCAACACACAGCCCCGTTGATGGAGGGTGGTCGACTTCTAGGGTCGTGACAAACCCCACGGGAGAGTGTCCCGTGTTTTATAACCCACAGTGTGGCAGCTCCCCTCTGAACGTGTCCACGGTGTAGCGCCCTTCTCTTTCCTCTTTTCTTACTGTGGTCCACAACGTTAATAGTCAGATTAGACCAGAGCACTCCTGTGCTCTTCCTGACTTTATTTCAGTCCTGATCCAGGAGGAACACTGTGTCTCCTGGTCTTCACTCCAGCCTGGGCTCTTACTGACTTTTACTGCTAAGGTCAAACAGACTGCTGAAGTCAAACTCCCCTATTACACTACCTCTTTTGCTGGTTTCAGTCTTGAATTTGGGTTTGTGAAGTCTGGTGTTCCTCAGGGCTCGATACTGGGTCCCCTCCTCTTCAGCATTTACCTGTTCCCACTTGGTCAGCTATTGAGATCACACGGTGTAAACGATCACTGGTACGCGGATGATGCATAAATCTGTATCTCATGATAAACCTGGCACTGAAGTGACTGTCTCTGTACTGTCTAATTGCATCTCTGACATAACATCCTGGATTTTAATTGAAACAGTGACAGGCCTGTAGTCATGCTTCTCTGCACCTCCCTTCAACAGTGTACTGTGCAGCCAGTGCAGTGACCCTAACTGCAGGAAGGCCCTTGAATGTGTGCGCTGGAATTTCAGTCTAAACCAGAGAACGTGGTGGTGATATTTGATCCAGGCTTGGCGTTTGACCCACACGTGCAACATATTGTAAAACAAATCTCATTCTTCCACCAAGTATTGCCAGGCTACGGTCCAATGTTCCTGATAACTGTTGCTGAAAACTTGGCCAGGACTTTTTTTTATGTTTCTTTCAAATTGATCACTGCAACGCCTTACTTGCTGGGGTATCTAAACCCACACTGAACAGACTCCAGTCTGTTCAGAATTCGACAGGCCAGATCCTGTCCAGGTCTAGTGCAAGTGATCCCATTACTCCTGTCCTGGAGTCCCTGCACTGGCTTCCTATCGGGTTTCGTGTCCATCTCAAAATCCCCATGCTCACCTATGAGGCTCTGCATGGCTTGGCACCTCAGTAGCTGTCCGACTTATCTTCCTGCTCGCCACCTCACAACCAGACCATTCGCTCGTCTAACTCTGGTCTCCTGTCCTCAAGCTTGTCTGTTATTGAGAGGGGCTCACTGTCTGTTCCCACAGTCTGCAGATGACAGGGCCTTCTCGAAGCAGATTATTCTTATCTTTATTATATTGTCACAATGTTGTGTGATGTTTTGGTGTTATACTGTGTCATTGTGCATTGTTGTGACACAGGGTTGTGTTGATGTGTTGAGTTACACTGTCATTGTGCTGTGCTGTGACACAGGGTTGTGTTGTTGTGTTGCGTCACACCGTGTCTTTCAGCTGTGTTGTGATACAGGGTTCTGTTGGATCACACTGTGTCTTTCAGCTGTGTTGTGATACAGGGTTGTGTTGATGTGCCGAGTTACATTGTAATGGTGCTGTTACACAGGGTGTTTTTGAGCAGTGTTGTGACAGAGGGCTGTGTTGCTGTGTTGTGTTACACTGTCATTGTGCTGTGTTGCATCACACTGTGTTTTTGAGCAGTGTTGTGACA